TGTCCAGATGAGAAAGTTTTAAGTCCTGTAAATGGGTGTCGTAAATTGTCTCGATGAGAAAGTTTTAAGTCCTGTAAATGGGTGTCGTAATCTGTCCAGATGAGAAAGTTTTAAGTCCTGTAAATGGGTGTCGTAAGTTGTCTAGGTGAGAAAGTTTTAAGTCCTGTAAATGGGTGTCGTAAGTTGTCTAGATGAGAAAGTTTTAAGTCCTGTAAATGGGTGTCGTAAGTTGTCTAGATGAGAAAGTTTGAAGTCCTGTAAATGGGTGTCGTAAATTGTCTAGATGAGAAAGTTTTAAGTCGTGTAAATGGGTGTCGTAAGTTGTCTAGATGAGAAAGTTTTAAGTCCTGTAAATGGGTGTCGTAAGTTGTCTAGATGAGAAAGTTTTAAGTCGTGTAAATGGGTGTCGTAAGTTGTCTAGATGAGAAAGTTTTAAGTCCTGTAAATGGGTGTCGTAAGTTGTCTAGATGAGAAAGGTGTTAATAAAGGTCAATTTTAATTTTAATAAATAAATTTTATATTTTTCATGAAGAGAGGGCCAGTATCTAAATTAAGTGATTTGAACAACCATGACATTTTAATCATGATTTAAGTCCTAACTAATTATCCATAGGTATGATGAACTAGAAATTATAGTTTCAGCAAAGTTATAAAAAAATTTAGTAATACTCAGTTCTTTCTTTCTTTCCCTTGTCACAGTTGAATCAGCCAATACATTATTAGACTGATGTCAGGAAATGAATCAAGCAATTACATTGAGTATTTTTACATTTAATTACTAGTCTCTTGATTGCCATGGAAAACAGGTATTTCTTAACTAATGACAGACGTTCTCCAAAATATAAGTTTACGTAAGCCATATTTTTTTTTCTCTCAGAACATCTAATGAAGAAAACATAGTATAACTGGTATACTCAGTATGATTGAGTGAGGATTTCGTTGGCCTAAAAACTTTGTCCTTACCTTTAAACATTTACTATATTTAACAGTCAGAATATCTAAATAAATATCATATCAGTAATATTTGGAAATAGAAAAAGGTGTCTGAATAATTTATCTATGTATGAACAACAGTTTATCGCATTTATTATGTGCTTTACCTACAGATAAAAAAAACTTGAAACACGTGACGGATTAACCTTGAAACACGTGACGGACTAACCTTAAAACATGTGACAGGATAAACATGAAACACGTGATAGACTAACCTTAAAACACGTGATAAACTAACCTTGAAACACGTGGTAGACAAACATTAAAACACGTGATAGAATAACCTTAAAACACGTGACAGAATAACCTTAAAACACGTGATAGAATAACCTTAAACACGTGACAGACTAATTTTGAAACACTTGTACTTCCCTCAAATAAGTTCTGAAAGTTTATATTTTTTATTATATTTATATGGATTTTTTGTAAAATTTTATCTTTACACCGAATTTCCGTTTCTGTGTATTCGTTTAGGTTATAGACAGATAGCTTATTTAAGGATACACAAACGTTTTATACTTACATCTCATACGGATAGATGGCACAAGTTGTAAAAGATCCTATTTCTGTCCAACACAGGGATGGTGTGTCGTTTATAATACTTGTTATTCGTTTTTAAATAAAAATGGCTTCTCCACAGAACACCTTAGCACGTTTTCACGGAAAGTATTTCTTATAAAGAGCTTATAACGAATGCTACAATACAGAAACATTGTTCTTATATTTGTGATAGTTAATATCATAAATATGTAATATACATATTGCGGCATCAGTATTTGGCCTGGTGACTGGGGCGTTTCACTCACAATCTGCAGTTCGCGGAATCCACACGAATATGCTTTTATTCGTGACGGTAACTCCCACTATTGGTTGGTAGCAAGTAGCCAAAACGTTGGCGGTGGGTGTTACCTAGCTGCCTTCCCTTTTGTCTGTCGTTGCTAAATTGTTAACGGCTAGAGTAAAAATCATCAGTCTTTTCTTTCCGTGCAGAGAACAGATGTTTTTATAAGAGATTGGAGTATTTTTTTCTCTTGTACGTTAATGTATTAAAGACTACCAATAAGATCTAATCGCGACGTATATCTTTATAACTACAGAATTGAAGACAATCCTTACTGGTACTGCTATGCATCCGTTTATACAAATTACAAGCAGAGTTACGACTTTCGCGGGACTTCCACCTGTACAACACCTGATAACCATCTGTAAGCATGCACTACATTTTTTTTTTGTTCGCTCTACCTCTACAGCTAGCTGAACAAAACCTTTATTCTGGCTTTCTCTGTGTACAATTCCTTTGTATTCTGCCGCTCGCAACGCTACTAACACGCAAGAAAGATTTGAAAACGAGGAACTAACGTTTCAGAAAATAAAAGATTGGAAACGGCTTGAATGAGCAATGAAGAAAGCTTTATAATAAACAGAGAACGTTTCGACAAGATTACGTCACATCAGGTACGCAAGAAAGATGTCTATCTTTTAAAGTATGACTAACAAGACAATAACATTATTACAACGAAGATTACACAAATGCTTTATTTACCAAAAATAAAAATAATATAAACAACTTCCCAGAAGACCATATAAAACAAAATATAGCGTAGTTTCAAGTTTATAGGTTTATAAACAACAAAATATAGTGTAGGTTTAAAAATTAACGTTTTTTAAACAATAAAATATAGTGTAGGTTTAAAAATTAACGTTTTTTTAAACAATAAAATATAGTGTAGGTTTAAAAATTAACGTTTTTTAACCAATAAAATATACTGTAGGTTTAAAAATTAAAGTTTTTAAACAATAAAATATAGTGTAGGTTTAAAAATTAACGTTTTTCAAACAATAAAATATAGTGTAAGTTTAAAAATTAACGTTTTTTAAACAATAAAATATAGTGTAGGTTTAAAAATTAACGTTTTTTTAAACAATAAAATGTAGTGTAGGTTTAAAAATTAACTTTTTTTAAAACAATAGTTTAAAGTTTTAAATAGTTAAAATATAATTTAGTTTTTAAAATTATAGTTTTTTTAAACAATAAAATAGTGTAGTTTTTCAAAATTAACGGTTTTTTAAACAATAAAATATATTGTAGTTTTCAAAATTATAAGTTTTTTAAACAATAAAATATTGTGTAGTTTTCAAAATTATAGGTTTTTTTAGACAATAAAATAGTGTAGTTTTTTTAAAATTAACGGTTTTTGAACAATAAAATATAGTGTAGTTTTTGTGTATTTTCGCCCAGATGATATAAAGCTTGTCAAAACGTTATGGAATGTTAAATATGGTATTTTTTTTTCAAATCATCTTATTCATCCAGATAGAATAGTACAGACAACTTCATGGAATATTTCCGAAAGTAAAAAATAAAATATGGGGTCTTTTGGAAAATTAGCAGTTTTTATTGCCTTTATTTATTTATTTTTCAAGAAAATTATGTGAGTATTATAAGTCTTCATGTTTTGAACAATTGTTTCCTTTCAATTTACTAAACGATAAATGCATGCTAAGCATGTAACTTCATTAGCCAATGATCTACTGGAGAACACAAACAGTAAGGAAAACACAGCCAATGAAAAGTAGTCTCCTGATCCAGTGATCTGATTAACATTTCAAATAAGATCACTAAAAATACGTAAAATTTATGCAATAGGAGTTAATAACCTACTCTTGTAATCTGAAAATGATAACCTTTACAGCAATAAAATATATCAAATAAAACCAATAAATTTGGTATAATTTAAAAAAAATGTTGAAAACAAAATAAATAAATTTTAAGCCTGAAGCTAAGATATGTTTTATAGATATTACTAAAGTGGTTTGTATGTGTTCGTATTTATATGCTTAAACATCTGTTAATGTTTCACACGGTTAAACATCTGTTAATGTTTCACACGGTTAAACATCTGTTAGTGTCTCACAAGGTTTGAGATCTGTTACTGTTTCACAAGATATCTGTTACTGACAATGTTTTTTATAACTCACAAGGTTTGACATCTGTTCATGTTTCACAAAGTTTAACATTTGAGAATTTTAGCAGTCTGTTAATGAGATTATATCTGCTAAGTGTTAAGGTTTGTAAGAAAACTACTTCAGGTAATCTGTTATGAACAATGAAGGTAAAATCTTCGACCAAAACTTATCAACTCTGAAATTTCAACTTACAGAAATATATTAAGAATGTATTGTATATTTGATTAGATTTGTTAAAATTAAAAAAATGTTAATTTAACTAAAAATAAGTCTGAAACAATCAAGATTACTGTCGTGAGTTTCATAAGGTTTACATATATAGTTTAGTACTTGAACCCTCATATAATACGTGATTGTATCAATTACGTGAAAAGACTTATCTTAGCACATAAAGCAGCCGACTGAACTGATAATTCTGTATTGTTCATCACATACTGTTGAACCCTCAATATCGAATAACTGTATTTTAATACTAAATATATGTGTGTGTATTTTCATACAGATAACTGTATTTTAATACTAAATATATGTGTGTGTATTTTCATACAGATAACTGTATTTTAATACTAAATATATGTGTGTACTTTCATACAGATAACTGTATTTTAATACTAAATATGTGTGTACTTTCATACAGATAACTGTATTTTAACACTAAATATATGTGTGTACTTTCATACAGATATAACTGTATTTTAACACTAAATATATGTGTGTACTTTCATACAGATAACTGTATTTTAATACTAAATATATGTGTGTGTATTTTCATACAGATAACTGTATTTTAATACTAAATATATGTGTGTGTATTTTCATACAGAATAACTGTATTTTAATACTAAATTTAGTATTAAAATACAGTTATCTGTATGAAAGTACACATACATGTGTGTACTTTCATACAGATAACTGTATTTTAATACTAAATATGTGTGTACTTTCATACAGATAACTGTATTTTAACACTAAAATATGTGTACTTTCATACAGATAACTGTATAAACTTACAACTTATTTATCTGGTGCAAGTTTTATGTTTTAACAATTTTATTATTACATTTTCCAAAATACAAAATGCACTTTACTAGTTACAGAACATAATGTAGCCAATCAGTTTGTTGTTTAGTAGAATCTAAGGATGCAGAGAATGTTCACTTGAAGTCAAAGTATTGATCAGTCAGTTATGAACGTACTAGAGCACATACAGTGCAACTGTCACCATAACAGTTTAATATCAACAAAATATGAAGCATGTTACTAGCATAAAAAATGTCATCTTGATTTAGAAAAAACAAAACATATACAATTTATAATATGAAAGATATCGTTAGGACTTAAATTTTTTGCTGTATCAACTTCTTGTTTTTGGTTACTTACATCATTCTGTACTCTCTTTCCTGATAGGACGAGATAAAACAATTCGTCGATCAGTTGAAAATCACTCTGCGATGTTATATACATAATCAGTGCTCTAATACTTTAAACAAGTGTAAATAGTCTGAGATTTTGAATCAAATTAACAACCAGAAGTTGGTAACTGGTTCTTCTACTTCTACTATATAGCACTACACAAAACGGTTTTATACACCACAAATAACTTAACTCCAACATCTGAGCATAGTTAGTGTTCTGTACAAAACTCTGCTGAAATATTATTCCCAGTGAATCTCTTTTAATTCTCTGTCTGTGCCTTCATTACACCGATGTTGTATCTACACTTTTTACACAGTCTGTTTTAAGTTCAGTCTTCTTCGCTACTCAAACCCGCTACTTCCTCTTCGTCTCCTCCCAGTGCACGCCAGAAAGCCACTGCAACCTCAAAAACAAACATAAAACATGCTTACTTACTTGGTAGAGATCATACAGCTCTGAATAATGATGAACTCTACTACAAAATATTGATAGAATTATCAATTACATAACCAGTGACTGCCAAGAATAATTCTAATAGTACTGGTACTGAAGAAACAAATTATAATAGCTGAAGCTACATATTTATATACCAAAAGACTTTCACAGAATACAACATTACTATGGAAACCTAAACCTCCTACAGTGCATAACAGAACAAATGTTACGTATCTGTTACTTAACTAACTGTAATAATGTATTGGGGGTAATTTCTAATAATATAAACACTGTGTGGACCAAGAATTCCCTACAATGTATAAAAGAAGTACCCACACCACTTCCGTTGCTCTTTCTACAATGTAAAAAAGAAGTATCCACACCACTTCCATTGCTCTTTCTACAATGTACAAAAGACGTACCCACACCACTTCTGTTGCTCTTTCTACAACGTACAAAAGAAGTACCCACACCACTTCCGTTGCTCTTTCTACAATGTACAAAAGAAGTATCCACACCACTTCCGTTGCTCTTTCTACAATGTACAAAAGAAGTACCCACACCACTTCCGTTGCTCTTTCTACAATGTACAAAAGACATACCCACACCACTTCCGTTGCTCTTTCTTCAATGTACAAAAGAAGTACCCACACCACTTCCGTTGCTCTTTCTACAATGTACAAAAGAAGTACCCATACCACTTCCATTGCTCTTGTTTATCATGGCCTCACTGAAGTTCTAGGATAAAATACTATTAACATTCTAACTCATTATCCTGTTCTGAGATGAGTGATTCAAGTTACAGGACTGCTAGCCTACTAACAACCTTGCCTTACTTATCACCCTATTCTGAGGAGAATGATGCAAGTTACAGGACTGATAGACTACTAACAACCTTGCCTTACTTATCACCCTATTCTGAGGAGAATGATGCAAGTTACAGGACATTTGACATTTTAGGTTGCTAAGCTGAATTCACCATAAAAATGATAAATTATACTTATTATGTAAGAGATGCTTTCAAGGTATCTTACTGTTACTCCACCCTATCCAGTTTCTAAAAATCAATTCTGTATACTTAGATTTTGACATTCCATCTTTTTATAATCATCTTTATTTCTTTCAAAAAAGCACATCACATCAACATCTCATTCTTAAAATTGTAAGCATTAATTGCTAACTCACACTTAAGAATTAAATTACTAGCAGTGGAAATGCTTACTTTCTCGGCATACTTTTTTCGATCTTCTCCAGAAAGTGTTGCTGCTTTTTCTACATCAAGAAAAGAATATAATACCTATAGAAATGTGGCAATTCACTGTTAAGGTAATTATCTCTGAAAATGCTTATAAACAGTAAAAAAGACATAATAGTGTCACCACTTTTTTATGTTTTTAGTTACGTCTTCTCTTTTTATGTTCTAAGTTGCATCTTTTTGGTATTTTTGCAATCTTCACTCAACTCTTATGACATATCAACTCAGGATTAATCGTAATATTTGTAATTTATAAGTTAAAAAAAAACAAGTTTTCAAGATGACAGGATTTACCTTTAAGACTGGACAACTGTGATTTGTAGTAAGTACAATCAATTAAAATGTGTTACGTTTGTATACAATAAAAATCAAGTAGTGTTCTCTCTATCAGAAACTTACTTTTTAGTAGCATATAAAGAAGTTAAATATATAGGTGCATTAGGCTTAGGATTCTTCTACAGTAGATGTCTGTGACTTGTTGGTGATAAATTCAACAATAAACGAACAGCACACACTCCACTTGTTTTTAAAATAATATATAAATTCGGAACAAGTTAAATGTATGTAAAACAAATTCTTTACACTATGGAGATCGTAGTTTTATCTTAAACACTATACAGTTCTCTTCTTCTCATCGAAGTCCACTTAAACCAATTCAATTGCTTTAGAATTCAGTTGACAAGCCAAACTACTTTTCTCTATTTCCTATCTCTATAGTGTCCGTGTATAGTTCACTTACGTTGTCTTTGAGTTCCCACAGTTGTATCCTGAGCTTCCAATAATTGTCTGCCTTTTGTCAAAGTCCACTTAGGTTGGTTCAATTACTTTAGAACACCCTTTGACGAGACAACTTATTCTCTTTAACTCTTTCAAAATTGTTAATCTCACTCTAAAATATCAACTGTTAGGACTTTCACTACCACGACAGTTAACTTTAAATTTAACTTTCTCTGAGCAATCTTCTCTTTCCCGTGACTTTACTCTGTGTTTCCACTCGTCTGGTCGCCATTATTTATATGTCTATCACTTAGGCCTTCTAGAAATCTCTATAGCTTCGATACCAATGGATTGCACACAATGTTTGACAGCCTCAGCATCAATGAATTACAAACACAAAATAAGTCAATTAATAATACTACTTACACTAAACAGTCTTTTATATCTGACACTTTCACACACTAATAAGTATACATTTTACAGAGAGCTGTAACCAGTGTAGATACAAGTTGAATTTTATAAATTTTCCTTCTTATTTTCTGTTACTTTGCTCCATTAAGTTTATATAAATTTCCATGAAATGTACTTGCAGCTTGTAGGAGAAAAATTAATGTACAAGATGTTTATGTGAATATTTTACTGTGTGATGATAAGCAAACTGTACAAATATTATACATCCAACTAACACATGACGTATTTGTACAAATATTCTACAGTGTAACGATATGTGAAGTGTTTGTATGAATATTCTACAGTGTAACAATTTGAAAAGTGTTTGTACAAATATTCTACAGTGTAACGATATGTGAAGTGTTTGTACAAATATTCTACAGTGTAACGATATGTGAAGTGTTTGTGTGAATATTATACAGTGTAAAGATATGTGAAGTGTTTGTATTCCTACTAATATTCCAACACAGGATTATTGTTTCTTGAACTAGAGAGACACTCGTTAGAGCTCATACTTCTCCCACACAGCATTGATCATATTTGGCTCTTAGAAAATACGAAAATGTGTCCATATGTCCATCATCATCAACAGACATGGACCATTTTTGGCAGGACAATGAGGAATAACATTCTACATATGTCCACCAAGTTTAATCAAAATTCAAACATTTTTGACTGAGTTATAAAGCAAAAATATTGTGAAAAATCAGTACCCATGTTAACAGACAGGGATTTTTTTATTTTCATGTCCCTCACCCTTCAAAAACTAATCACTTCTAAGTTGGGTCATAGTCCAAATGTAAACCAACTTTCATTGAAATCCATTCAGCCATTTTCAAGAAATCCTGTTGACAAACACACACACACACACACACTGTAAACTGATATTAGAATGGCTGACTCTTGTAGTTGAATAATATTATGTTACATTAAGAATAGAAGTGGTCATAGATTGTAAAAAGTTGCATAAATAACTTATGTGAAAAGTTGCATATATAACTTATGTGAAAAGTTGCATATATAACTTATGTGAAAAGTTGACATTTCAAGTGATCACTTTCTATGCACTGAACCTTATGTACAGGAAAACTTTTTAAAATTTGTGAATCTGTTATTTACCAAATCAAATATAGAGCTATAGCTCACAGACAGAACTGACACAGACAATGAAATGCCTATATTATACAAAACATTTAAACACTTTAATGTTTAATATTCATAAAAACACCGTAAATGTGCCAAAACAAAAAATACTTACGTTTCATATTGTGAAATTTTGAAAAAAGAGCTTCGAAGCTTTCACCACCTGGATCTTCATTTCCTACTAGATTTTCCAAGACTTTTATTTCGTCTTCTACAAGAACATCTAGTAATTGGAATACAAATAACAATCCGTTTAACTCTTGTTGTGTGTAGTATATCTAGTAGTTAATCATATAACTCATGTTGTGTGTAGTATATCTAGTAGTTAATCGTTTAACTCATGTTGTGTGTGGTATATCTAGTAGTTAATCGTATAACTCATGTTGTGTGTGGTATATCTAGTAGTTAATCGTTTAACTCATGTTGTGTGTAGTATATCTAGTAGTTAATCGTATAACTCATGTTGTGTGTACTATATCTAGTAGTTAATCGTATGACTCATGTTGTGTGTAGTACATCTAGTAGTTAATCATATAACTCATGTTGTGTGTAGTATATCTAGTAGTTAATCATATAACTCATGATTAACTACTAGATATACTACACACAACATGAGTTCATATAACTCATGTTGTGTGTAGTATATCTAGTAGTTAATCGAACTACCAGAAGATAGTTTCAACTAGATAGAAGTTTTCAATCACTACATACACGTCTTTACCAGCATAAACCTACACTTATAAACAGATACCTTGTTTTCCAAATGCTCTAACTTTAGCACCATCTAGTGGCAGATATATTATTAAATACTTTCTGGATATTATACATCACTCTGCAATTCAGACAGTTACACTACAATTGCACTAATTTTCATGTAATAAACCATAATAAACTCTAATAAACCATATTGTATTATCTTTAAGAGTACACAGCTTGTAGTCAGTTTGGTTTAATTTTTACAAAGTGTGACTCGACAAGCTGCGTACCGACTTCCTCTTCCCTTCTTTCGCTTCCAACTTCGACTTGAGTACCACTTGATGAATTGCCATTGGCTATGGATGCTTGACCAATGGTCATCTTGTTTTTTATGTCTGTGGTGATTCCTCCTAAAAGAATTTCAGGAGAAAGTGTTTAAAAGATGTTTATGAATAAATAAAATATTGGTGTTCAATACACAAGTTTAAATAGTTAAATCTAGGACAGTGTTTCCCAAAGTGTGGTCCGTGGGCAGGTCCAAAATGCAAGTCACTGACGAGCAATGCCATGACAAAGACCGCACATGGGTAGGACCGGTAGTTGGTCTGCAGGGTCTTTTTTGACCCACCGAAATGGTCTGCAGACACAAAAGTTTGAGAACCACTGATCTAGGACAACTAGTAGTAAAAAATTCCCAATGCAAATGATGTAGAGGGTTTTTCAAAGATCATAAAAACAAATGACATAGAGGGTTTTTCAAAGATCATAAAAAAACAAATGACGTAGAGGGTTTTTCAAGGATCATAAAACAAATGATGTAGAGGATTTTTTAAAGATAATAAAAAACAAATGACATAGAGTTTTTCAAAGATCATAAAAAAAATGATGACGAGGGTTTTTCAGAGATCATAAAAACAAATGACATAGAGGGTTTTTCAAAGATCATAAAAAAACAAATGACGTAGAGGGTTTTTCAAGGATCATAAAACAAATGATGTAGAGGATTTTTTAAAGATAATAAAAAACAAATGACATAGAGTTTTTCAAAGATCATAAAAACAAATGATGTAGAGGGTTTTTCAAAGATCATAAAAACAAATGATGTAGAGGGTTTTTCAAAGATCATAAAAACAAATGATGTAGAGGGTTTTTCAAAGATCATAAAAACAAATGATGTAGAGGGTTTTTAAAGATCATAAAAACAAATGATGTAGAGGGTTTTTCGGACATAATAAAAAACAAATGACGTAGAGGGTTTTTCAAAGATCATAAAAACAAATGATGTAGAGGGTTTCAAAGATCATAAAAAACAAATGATGTAGAGTTTTTCAAAGATCATAAAAAACAAATGACGTAGAGGGTTTCTCAAAGATCATAAAAAAACAAATGACGTAGAGGGTTTTTTCAAAGATGATAAAAAACAAATGACGTAGATGGTTTTTCAAAGATCACAAAAAACAAATGACGTAGAGGGTTTTTCAAAGATCATAAAAAAACAAATGCCAGAACAAGTATCAATGTAAAATGTTGAAACCTCACACAGTCATAACTAATGGTACTGAGTTCTTGTCATCAGGTTACAGATCAGTCACATCAACAATAATAAGGCATCTACATAAAACAATGAGTGAAGTGTCAGCACTGTTGTTGGTTTTGTTTCATAATGTTTAATTTTTGAATTTTTTACACCCTGTATTACAAAAACAATACCCGATTACTTAACATGTTCCTTTATAGATCTTTCTCATTTCGATAAGAATATTACTTTAAAGATTACCAAAGTAAGACAGATTTTAGAATCTTCCAACTCATATCAGTAAACAGAAGTCCCACCTGTATCAATACAATCTTCTTTAACCATTTCTTGGTTTCTGGAAGAAGTTCCTGGATTGTATTCTAAAGAATATGTTAGAGCCATCTAAATTAGTTTTCTTAAGTAAGAATCTCTAGATAGAAACTTTTATTTTATAAATAAAGCCTACTGTGACTCTTGACTAAACTTGTAACAGTACTGAAAACTAATACACAGCATATTTTATCATGCAGACTTAACAGTGAACCCATGAAAGTCAACAATAAGTTTTACAACAAAAAAACCCTTACAAACATATAAAAATTTAAATGATCAGTTATTATCAAGCATCAAGTGTTACGAGTTTATAACCAATAATGCTACTGTTTGTGGAATGTAGAAACCACAAATTCACAACGTTAGTTCATATATTCGTTAATAAAGGCATCAAGCTTTGCTCCATTTCCTACTTTTTAATTTCATACCAGTAACATAAATTGACTAACTGGCAACGTTGACTTTTGGTCAACTTTTGTATTAAAGTTATTGTAGTGTTTTTCATAAATAGGTTAAAAAAAAACAGATTATTATACCTTATTAAACCTACTAACCAAGAACATTACGCCAGTGTTAAGAACAGTACCTACTAACCAAGAACATTACGCCAGTGTTAAGAACAGTACCTACTAACCAAGACCATTACGCCAGTGTTGAGAACAGTTTTACATGCAGTCAACTTAGATTTAAAGTAACATGATTCAACAGTGAAGGACCACCTTCCATTTCTGCAATAAATAACAGAACTTGTAAAATGGTTTAGATATTATTTATATAGTATTTAAATGTAAGGAATAATCTTTGTGTTTAGAATGTAAAAATTAAAAGAATAACACACTATTCTATAATGTTAGAAATGTGTGAAGAAGTGAAAACTGGAATTCAAATCCCTGGCTCGGATAGGTGTTGAGCCAACCTAAGATTATCTCCCGAGATATACACTCACGGGTTTGAATCCCATACACTCTCAGAGTTCACTTTCCTAATTTTTACTTCAGTATATTCTTCAGCCAATTCACTTTTAACACAAGGATCAATAATTTCTTTTTCTCCAATGCGCAAGCTTCATATTACCTCATCAGATACTTCCCCTCATTTGAAATGATGCACAAGTAAATTTTTTAAGGCTGGTATATTCTATCATTTTCTGTGTGTGATTAACTACAGTAATAAAAAGAAACTATTACTAACTTCGGTAGGTTTTTTTCCAACGTTTTCATAACCAAATCCAAATCCAGAATGGTTACTGGAAATGTGGAATGTCCTTTTAAATAATAATTCAGATATTTATTTTTCAATACATTACATGAAAAGTACCACGTGACTAACCTAAGCAAGTAATACACAGCATTGAACATTTCTAATATATAATCTGTTACGTAAAGTAAGATGTAAAACATTGTAGCTCAACACCTCTGAAACCTTACTTCAACACTATGCATGAAGTGTTGAGAATAAAAGTTTTTAAACACAAAACATGCACATAAATATTTACCTTTTGTGGTCATGTTCGGCCAAAGATGTGCGTGTAAAGCTTGTAGAATTCTTGGGTAACCTTTTGTTTCTTTGAAGTCATCTAAAAATATCATTATTTACCCTATTTAAATAGCGTTAACGATCTACCATTTACAGCAACAACAATTTTACTTAAATAAACTAGTAAATTGTGTAAACTTAATCAAATAATAGTGCCTAACGAGAGTAAAACTTAAAAAATACGTCATTCAGATAACATCAAGAAAGAAAATTACCTGAACTTTCAATTATAAATTAATAGAAATCAACCAAAAATAAAATATCTGTAGCATTTTATTCTATATATATAGTTTATGTTGATATATATATACATTTGTAATCAACACTTTGCTAAAAAAGATTACATGATCATAATCAATATAATCATATCTTTATGTTAAGATGTTACAAAGTAAAAAAATATATATATATCTGTGCTACTTTATCTGTCTTTTTTACATTTATAATTAGTTAATAGCATAAGTTTGTATATATCAAATTATAAAATAAAGAGTTCTTTATATGTAATCCAGCAAGTTACCCTCTTCGTCACTTTCGTCATCAAATTATAAAATAAAGAGTTCTTTATATCTAATCCAGCAAGTTACCCTCTTCGTCACTTTCGTCATCAAATTATAAAATAAAGAGTTCATTATATGTAATCCAGCAAGTTACCCTCTTCGTCACTTTCGTCATCAAATTATAAAATAAAGAGTTCATTATATGTAATCCAGCAAATTACCCTCTTCGTCACTTTCGTCTTCTGGATCAAGTTCCACAAGTTCAAACCCGTTCTTTATACACCATTCTAGCACAAAGCTTCTTGAAAGAACTACAAAATAAACAATATACATTTCTGGATTTCATTAAACGATCCCCAACAATATGTAGTTACAATGGAGAATTAAAATAAAAAGTCTTGCAACTATATTAAGAACTATGTCTAACAATGGTTTGGCCACCCGAATAGCATACGGTATGGCACAGAATCCGGAAGGTACTGGAAACTGTCCTAAAGGTAGTTCCCTATTCAGACATTAATAGTGTAGGTAATTCATGGAGTGTAGTAGACAGAGAATAGTGATGGAGTCATGTCTCTTTCAAGTTCACTCCACAAATGCTCAAATGGACTGAGATCCAAGGACTATGGTGACCATTGGAGATATCTTAATTCTCTTTCCTGTTCCTTTATAAGGAGACCTAGGGTATGAACGGGAAAACACGACTCCACCAACAGAGGCCTAGACAGTTGGGCTCACACAAGAGGGGTGAGTTATTCTTGTGTCTTTTTAAAAGTTTGTTGTGCCCAACTGATGAAAAAAAGGTTAAAGCATCATTCTCTGGACCACATCCAGTCCTTATTAGACCAATGTATACACAATTTCCACCACTCAAGGCGGTTTCTTCTTGTCTGTAACTGAATCCAATGCAAAGATGTCCTACTGTCACAGTCCATTTTTTGAAATGTTCTTAGCAAGGTAGGGCTGGAGATGGGATTGTCCTATATTAGATGTTTCCAAGTTGGTGTACTTTTTGATGATGGTTGGACTTTACCACCCTATCTATACGTTTTTCTCCTCTTTCTGTAATTACACATTTGTGGCCACAACTCCCCCTCACAACAGACATTTATTCAATACTTTCCATTGCTGATAAACCCTACTAACTGATATCTTGAAGCAGCACCTGCTAAACGTGCCCTCCCATTATCCTCCATATCTTTGTCTTTCCCTATATTTATTAGACTGATTGCAAATATGCATGTCACAGTCACTTATAAAACCACCCAAAACATCATATGATCAACCTAACTTGTAGCTGCAGCTCAGGTTAGGCTTAAGACTGAAAAGTAAACAGTTCCTAATAAAGTAGCCAGACCCTGTTTATTTATGTGTATTCTCGTGACTTTAAGCATATTATTAACACCATGTGTAAATGAGCTAGGTATTTCACTTTTCAAAGTTTAAGCTTACAAAGAAACACTAATTACTAAATATGACAGAGATTATGGAACCTGACAAGGAGCGTACAACATTCTTCAAGAGTGTACAACATTCTTCAAGAGTGTACAACACTCTTCAAAAATAAAACATTCTATCATTTGTCACTGATGAATTCCACCTCTCATCAGTAACTCTGGACAAAGTAAACGAGACCAGGATACTCAGAGTGGTGGAACGTATATGGTGTTTTCAACAAATCAAGTAAACAAGACCAGGATACACAGAGTAGTGGACTGTATATGGTGTTTTCAACAAATCAAGTAAACAAGACCAGGATATACAGAGTAGTGGACTGTATATGGTGTTTTCAACAAATCAAGTAAACAAGACCAGAATATACAGAGTAGTGGACTGTATATGGTGTTTTCAACAAATCAAGTAAACAAGACCAGGATACACAGAGTGGTGGACTGTATATGGTGTTTTCAACAAATCAAGTAAACAAGACCAGGATACACAGAGTGGTGGATTGTATATGGTGTTTTCAACAAATCAAGTAAACAAGACCAGGATACACAGAGTGGTGGACTGTATATGGTGTTTTCAACAAATCAAGTAAACAAGACCAGGATACACAGAGTGGTGGACTGTATATGGTGTTTTCAACAAATCAAGTAAACAAGACCAAGATACACAGAGTGGTGGACTGTATATGGTGTTTTCAAGAAATCAAGTAAACAAGACCAGGATACTCAGAGTGGTGGACTATATATAAATGGTGTTTTCAACAAATCAAGTAAACAAGACCAGGATATACAGAGTAGTGGACTGTATATGGTGTTTTCAACAAATCAAGTAAACAAGACCAGGATACACAGAGTGGTGGACTGTATATGGTGTTTTCAACAAAGTTTCACACATTTATTTTCAACATTTTCCTTCCTACTTCACTATCAGTAAAAGCAAGATTTGTTCTTATATCACAAAACGATACATTTCAAATGAATATTATTGAAACTGACTTTAGTCAAAATAAAAGTGGAGCAGTCTGATGAAAGATTTACCTTTCCAATTTAAAACAATTTAAACAAACAATTCAATACCAATTTATTACAAAAGTCTGGAGGTGGCTGGAATGGTTAATGAAGAAAACTTTACTATAATCTACCACAAAGAATCAAACACACAAAATAAAGGACGCTAACTTAATTGAACCAAACAGCCCTACTCTAAACCAATACCCCAGGGTACCAAGATATCTTTACTAAGCTGTTAAGCAATCTCTGGTCATGTGACTTCTTTGTTTCATACTGTATATATATATATTCTTGTTTCTATGTAAAATACTCATACCTGATGATCAGATAATCTTGTCAAAACATTGTACATTTATAATAAAAGTTTTCTTCATTACTCATTCCAACCTTCTACAAACTTTATTTTCCAAAAAAGTTGGTTCTTCGTTATCAAATTTAAATTCACCAAGTTAATATGTTTAGCAGCCTCAACCCACCAGAGTTCTCCCTCTCAAGTCTATCACAAGCCAGAATCTGCACTTCAGGCCTGTACTCTTTAATGAATGGCATCCACGTCTTGACATTATCGAAAGTGCTTTCCTGAAAAATTCAATAAAAAGTTCAGTTCACTGAACTTCAAGGCCTTATTATCAATTTATCATTGCTAAAAATGTCACAGTAGATTGTATTAAACCTTATTCTAGTGGTTCTTGTTTAATAACAAATAAACTTCTAATTATTCACTCTTTTTGACTTGTGTACGGGTGATTTTAACACTTCATTGGGTGATTTTAACACTTCATTATACATAAGTCTCTAAAGATTTTCTCTTCCAAAATGTTTTTCTTACAAGCATAAGGTTACTTATAAAAAGGATGGAGAAGATGAATATTTTTTTCAGGAATATTTTAAAACTAATAGCAAGTCAATGTACATACAAAGCCTTAGACCTGAATGTAAGTTCTAGAAATGATACACCGTAAGTATATACAGTGTTGAATATATTATACATGTAACAACCAAAGCCAATACACTGTGATGGAATGGATGTATCAGAACTACATTTTGACATACCATAGGTAGTTAGATGCCACCAACAACTGACTGCTTCAAGGAAAGCACTTTCCAACTCAAAATATTCATACACTCAGGTGATAAAGATGTGTTCAGATCAGGGATTTAGAACTTCCAAGATGAAAATATCTCTTGTATTTAAAATAAAGGAAAATGGATTAACTTGGGACAGTGAGACCATCCAGAAAAAGACCTTCATATATGGATCAACTTGGGACATGAGACGATCCAGAAAAATACCTTCATATATATGGATCAACTTGGGACAGTGAGACCATCTAGAAAAATACCTTCATATATATGGATCAACTTGGGACAGTGAGACCATCTAGAAAAATACCTTCATATATATGGATCAACTTGGGACAGTGCGACCATCTAGAAAAATACCTTCATATATATGGATCAACTTGGGACAGTGCGACCATCTAGAAAAATACCTTCACAATGTCATAAACCAGCTGTGGAAAGTAAAGTGTGGTATCTTATAATAGGTGAGAATCCATGTGCGCAAATGTCAGGGACAAAAACAGTCCATGTGCCCCAGGTAATAGCACACAATATAATCAAGAAAAATCTCCACAAGAGTACACATGTCACTTCCATGACACATGTTTAGCCACCACATATCTCAAACAGCTGAAGAATGAAACGGGTATTCCTGCTATTCCATATTTCTCAATTTGCCCAGATGTAGTGCCTACGAATTTCTGTGCAACAGAATTGTTGAAACAGGTGATGGGAAATCATCCTTCTACAGTAGATGTATAACAGAAAACCTACAGGGATGCATGATGTGCTTTGAACATGACAGGACATTATTAAACCTTTTGCAATGGAAACTACACTGCAGGGCTATTATGAAGATAACTGATTGTCAGATAGAGCATGCCAGATGTGGAAACATGGACTGTAATGACATGGTGAGGCTCCAAAATCCTTAAGTATAACACAACTTCTGTACACATAGACATGCAATAAAATTGTTCTAAACAAATTTACCTTCACTATTAAAAAAATTAATTTCAAATTGGACTCATAAAGCTCATAGAATCTAAGATTTGGAACAAGTTGATATATTACAAATGGCATATCATTATGTTTGAGTTTCGAATTCATACAACTAATTTTCATATCATATTTTCAAACCTTATAATATGCTAGTCTGTTATCTAAAAAAGTTATATTTCTAGTATAAGGTATTAAATACTGAGATAGAATAAACAAATATTATGCAGTTTGCATGTTTACAACAACACTGATTATGTTAACATGATCATGAGCGATGAAATATGGAATCTTATCAAAACTTTTTTATCATTAATAGCTATTCAAATTCATGTCAGACATCAATAAGTCATCACATTTTTTCAGTCCAATGATCAAAATTTCACCAAATCATACTAATTAACTCAAAAACCACATCACTGCACCTGAGAGGTATCAAAATGTAATATTGCTGCTTGGACACTTTCAGCAAAGTCTTTGTTTACTAACTCCTTTTGAACAGTGGTAAAAAGTTGGATATCAGCAGAGTAATACTTGGTATCAATGTGCATTGGATAACTCTGTACATTAGGAAACAGACTTTCTGGTTCAGGAAGTGTGTTCTCTCCAATGATACCTTTTTAAAAATAGGTTAGAAAAGTAATTGTTAGAAAAACACAAATTACCAAATACTGTGAACATAAGCACAATGTAATATGAGGCCAATCATGTTACATTAGTTTTTTTATCACTACCAAAAAAAACCTTTAAACCCTACATAACACAACAAAATTAATACCGATGCATGTCATTAATACTAGTTGCTATAACATTTACCTGTCTATTGTATACAAGTTAAATATTAATACTAAAATATGTCATTAGTACCACTTGCTATAACATTCATCCACCCATTGCATGATTGAAACTTGTCATTAGTACCACTGGCTAAACATTCATCCACCCATTGCATGACTGAAACGTGTCATTAGTACCACTTGCTAAACATTCATCCAACCGTTGCATGATTGAAACGTGTCATTAGTACCACTTGCTATAACATTCACTGGTCTGCTGCATGACTGAAACGTGTCATTAGTACCACTTGCTATAACATTCACTGGTCTGCTGCATGACTGAAACTTGTCATTAGTACCACTTGCTGAACATTTATCCAACCGTTGCATGATTGAAACGTGTCATTAGTACCACTTGCTATAACATTCACTGGTCTGCTGCATGACTGAAACTTGTCATTAGTACCACTTGCTAAACATTTATCCACCCGTTGCATGACTGAAACGTGTCATTAGTACCACTTGCTATAACATTCACTGGTCTGCTGCATGACTGAAACTTGTCATTAGTACCACTTGCTAAACATTTATCCACCCGTTGCATGACTGAAACGTGTCATTAGTACCACTTGCTAAACATTCATCCACCCATTGCATGACTGAAACATGTCATTAGTACCACTTGCTAAACATTCATCCACCCATTGCATGACTGAAATGTGTCATT